GTCCTCACAACTGGACCAATAAGCAACATCATGATAAATGGAGAAAAGATTGAAGTTGTCAAGGATTTCATTTTACTTGGATTCACAATCAGCACCCATGGAAGCAGCAGTCAAGAAATCAAAAGACACATTGCACTGGGCAAATCTGCTGCAAAAGACCTCTTTCAAGTGTTGAAAAGCAAAGATGTTACCTTGAAGACTAAGGTGCGCCTGACCCAAGCCATGGTATTTTCAGTCGCATCATATGTATGCGAAAGCTGGACAATGAATAAGGAAGACTGAAGAATTGACGCCTTTGATTTGTGGTGTTGATGAGGAAGTACAGCCAGAATGCTCCTTAGAAGCAAGGATGGCGAGACTACGTCTCACATACTTTGGACATATTGTCAGGAGGGATCAGTTCCTGGAGAAGGTCATGATGTTTGGTAAAGTAGAGGGTCAGCAAAAAAGAGGAAGACCCTCAACGAGATGGATTGACACAGTGGCTGCAACAATGGGCTCAAGCATAACAACGATAATGAGGATGGTGCAGGACCGGGCAGTGTTTTGTTCTGTGGTACATAGTGTCGCTATGAGTTGGAACCTACTCAACGGCACCTAACAGCAACAACAACTTAATATAAACTACTTTTTTTCTGTTTTGTTCATATTATTACCAGTTTTGGAAGTTCCTTAAAGGTCCCTGGGTGACGCAAACAGTTTGCACTCATCTACTAACCTAAAGGTTGGTGGTTCAAACCCACCCAGCGATGCTTCAGAAGAAAGGCCTGGCAATATATTTCCCTTAAAGATTACAGCCAAGAAAACCCTACAGAGCAGTTCTACTCTGTAGCAACAGATGGGGTCACCAAGAGTTGTAATCAACTTGATGGCAACAGGTTTTTTTGTGGCAATTCCTTGTTGTTGAAATTGTTCAATAAGAAAATGAACATATTTGAGATTGGGAGACAAATATTTCCTCTACTAATCAAAATATTAGGATTCATTGCTCTGACAGGGATCACGATAGAGGGTCCTGGACAGAGCTGGAGAAAAATACAGAACAAAATTCAAACTCAGAAAAGAAGACCAGACCTAAACTGGCCTGACAGAGACTGGAGAAATCCCAAGAGTATGGCCCCTGGACACCCTTTTAACTCAATACTGAAGTCACTCCTGAGATACAACCTTCAGTCAAAGATTAGACAGGCTCATAAAACAATTATACACGTAGCTCAGTAATGTATACAAGACTAAATGGGCACACTAGCCCACGGGCAAGGGCTAAAAGGCAGGAGGGGACAGGAAATGTGGATGAATGGAAATGGGGAACCCAAGTTTGAGAAAGGGAGAGTGTTGACACATCACAGGGTTGACAACCAATGTCACAAAACAGTATGTGTATTAATTGTTTAATGAGAAACTGATTTGCTCTGAAAACTTCATCTAAAGAACAATAAAAAAAAAGGATTCAGTTTCAGGTTTTAGGATTCAGTAAACATTCAATAAAATATTTTTGATGTCATATTACTGTATTTTTACGTACAACTACGCCTTCTACATTTGCCAATGGCGTCCTCCCCCTGCAAGGTATTTTCATAAGAACACTGTGCTAATTTTTTACAACAATATGTAAAAAAAAAAAAAAATTGACGTAGCTGTGCTTATGAAAATACCTAATGGTGGGGAGGACAGGTTGATAAACAAACTTGGAGGATCCATGTTATTTGCATAAAAATACGGTATTCCAATCTTGTAAACGAATCCATTTAGAGATAGCCCACCTAAGACTCATGGGAGGATTGGCCAGTGCTGCCAGGCTGAAAGTAATCAAGGATGAAAACCAGAATGAAAGCTAGGAATAAGAGAGAGACTGGAGGGGAAATTATTGTGTCTTACCATGTTTTACTCTTGAGTGCTTACTTGGCCACGTACCCATAAACCAAGCCTGTTGCCATCTAGTTGATTCTGACACATAGCGACCCTATAGGACAGAGTAGAACTGCCCCGTAGGATTTCCAAGGAGCACCTGGTGGATTCGAACTGCCAGCTTTTTGGTTAACAGCCAAACTGTTAACCAGTACGCCACCAAGGTTTCCTGGCCATGTATAGTACTTTACATTTCTGGAACATGGTTCCATGTTGTCTCTATTAGTTTGTGAGATCTTAAAGAAATCAGGTGAGGTTGGCTTTAAAATGAAGAAGTTCCCACTTATGCTAACTGGTCATATAGATCAACAAGGGGGCTTTGCTCATGGTAATTACTGAAAGACCCAGATGGATAGAGGCATCATCTCAATCCAGACATCCACACTCGCAGAGGTCAGGTAAAAGAGTGTGACGAGCCACGTACTGGCTTTTCATGTTTTTGTCCAGATGTGACACACATCACTTCTGTTCACATTTCATTGACCAGACGAGTCAGTGGATGGTGAAACAGGAACCGACATACATACAAAAAATTGAACATTAAGTAGCGCATATGTCTACCCTGGTTCTCTCTACTTCTGTGTAATCTCCATCCCAGCTCAGAACATGGATTCAGCAAATGCTTTGGGGAATGATGAATAAATGAATGCAGAAATAGAGCCAGTGCATTCCCCAACTCAGGTGTCATGGTCTTAGAGAGTAATACCCAGACTGTAGCAGCAGGAGGGCATACTGAGTGAGTGTGTCTAGTTCCAGCTTGGGGATCTAAGCAGGAAATGACTCTTTGTACCAAAAGGATTAAAAATAGCCCACCCATCACCATAGCCCACAAAAACACCACACAGAACATCAGAGTAAGCTAAATCATTTTATGATTTGCATACTGCTGCATTGCTAAGGTTTCTAGACCAATAGTATATTTATTTTATAAAAATTAACAATGAAAATCATCCCCACTGAGTTATATAAATATTATTATGAATGTAATTATATGATTATATAATAGATTATTACTGAGTTAATTGACTGAATGGAAAGAAATAGTTACATCTTATTTCAGACTGTGGGTGGGCTCTTCAATTTCAAATCCTTTTGCTGTTTTTATTAGATGTTGAATTAAAGAACTGTTTAGGTAATGTTTTATAGATGGGGACCAGAACTGGTTGGATTCTACCTGAATATGACCCTATGAAGAAGAATGGGGCATCAAGATTGGAGGAAGACTCATTAATAACCTGAGTTATGGAGATGACACAACCTTCCTTGCTGAAAGTGAAGAGGACTTGAAGCATTTACTGATGAAGATCCAAGACTACAGCCTTCAGTATGGATCACACCTCAACATAAAGAAAACAAAAAGTCTCAGAACTGAACCAATAAGCAACATCATGATAAAAGAGAAAAGATTGAACTTGTCAAGGATTTCATTTTACTTGGATCCACAATCAACACCCATGGAAGCAGCAGTCAAGAAATCAAAAGACACATTGCACTGGGCAAATCTGCTGCAGAAGACCTCCTTAAAGTGTTGAAAAGCAAAGATGTCACTTTGAAGACTAAGGTGCACCTGACCCAAGCCATGGTGTCTTCAGTCATCTCATATGCATGGGAAAGCTGGACAGTGACTAAAGAAGTCCAAAGAAGAATTGATGCCTTTGAACTGTGGTGTTGGAGAAGAATATTGAATATGCCGTGGACTGCCAAAAGAATGAACAAATCTGCCTCGGAGTAAGTACAGCCAGAATGCTCCTTAGAAGCAAGGATGGTGAGACTACATCTCACATACTTTGGACATGTTTTCAGAAGGGATAAGTTCCTGGAGAAGGACATCATGCTTGGTAAAGTAGAGGGTCTACGAAAAAGAGGAAGACCCTCAACGAGATGGATTGACACAGTGACTGCAACAATGGGCTCAAACTTAGCAATGATTGTGAGGATGGCACAGGACCAGGCAGTGTTTCGTTCTGTTGTACAGAGGGTCACCATGAGTCAGAACTGACTCGATAGCACCTAACAACAACAACAACATGCGAATCAAGAGTTTGGTTGCCAAACTCTTTGCTGGAGAAGCAAAACTAAGTAAGTAGCATGCTTTGCTAGTGGCTGTAACAAAACTTATTTCCACTTGAATTTGCTACTCCTTACACTTGTGGCTAAAAGTAAGTATCTGAAGGATTGGGTGAAAATGTAAAAATATCTGTAAGTTATGAAGGGGAGAGTATTTAAGGATACATATGAAAAGAGAATTAGCTTACAGCTGAAGAGGAGGAGTGAGTTAGGCAACTTTTGTGCTATCTGCCTAACCTTCATGCCTCCTTCTGTAAAAACACCCCCACCCCACCATTTCCACAAGTAGACCGTCTGTATCCCATTTGTATTGTGGGACTCTGCTCCCCTGGCCATTACTGATTGGAATATGGGTAGATGTAGAAGCTAAGCTCTTCCAAACTCTCCCAGGAACTTGGAATTAAAACCAAGAGACACTAGTTATTCTCTGTTTTGCGTGAAATTGGAGAACGTGTGTATCAGTTAGGATCAAGTTCAGTTGCATGTAAAAAGAAATTCAAAATAACAATGGCTTAAATGAGAGAGAAATTTAGTTCTTCGCATACAAGAAGTGGAGGTAGGTACTCAGGAGCTGATATCATAGCTGCACATTCTCAGGGATCTTTTCAGCTCGTGGACCCATCATCTCTTTGGTCTCTTCATTGTCAAAATCAAAATGGTGGCTATAGTTCTAACCATCATGTTTGCTTCCCACTCAGAAGGATAAAGGCAGAGAAGGGTCTACCTTCTTCCATTTAAAGAGTCATGTGGCAACATCGAGGTGTAAAGAAGTCTGGGGAAAATGTAGTATTTATTCGAAGTGGTCTATGCCCAGTTAAAATAGGGGTTATATTTATAAGAAGGGAACAGAGGATATTAGGTAGACAACTAGCAGTC